AGAGAGATATATATATAAAAAATATATATATATAAGAGAGAGATATATAAGATATATATATATATATAGATATATAGATATATAGAGAGAGAGAGATATATAGAGAGAGATATATATGAAAAATATATATAAAAATATAGAGAGAGAGAGAGATAGACAACATATTTGAAAATTATAAAAAAATATTCTTAAAGTCAGATCTTGGCAGTTGAATTTTAAACTTGTTGCTCATATATAAGTTGAAGATATGAATTTTGTGTGACAATAATTAAATGAAGAACATGTTACATTGATCACTATCTTTTTTTACATCTCGCTTATTTAATCGTAGGTTTTTTTTTAGTTTGTTTTTTTTTTATTTAGTTCTTCATTTTCCTGGCTTCTGATCATTTTACAGTTTTTTTTTCTTGATTTATTAATTATTCCCCATTTTCAGAGAAAATAATTATTCAAGTAAACATTTTATAAAATTTACTGCAAAAGTATTTTACAATGTTAATTTATAATTATGGGGAAATTAGTGTAATTACCAAATAATCAATTTAGACAAAATTATATAAAAAAAAATATTTAGTTGAGGAGCCAGTAAAAACCTAATTTTGATATTGGGAAATTTCTCACATAGATATATTTATATTTATCTGCCCATCCCCCCACCCCAAACAAAACATGATGCAACGTTGTTTTTTTTTGTTTTGTTTTTTTATTATTGTAGGCATTTACAACTCAACAATACTTAAGACTAATGCCTTAAAAATCAATTTTAAAAAGAGTAAAAGTTTTAAACAGTTTAACTGTGATGAGACCGTATAATTGTATCAGAAATTCAGTAAACATTTTTTCTTTGTCAGTTTAAATCCCAATAAATGATGGGGTTTAAGTTAACATAAATAAATTTTAAAAAGCAGGGGCAGACAACCTTAAGGAAAAAATATTCAGCAAAAGAAAGACTATTTCCTTCACACTGACAAAAATGATGACTGACAATAGATTAAAAGAAAATTGTCTTTACGAATTTCTACAGCAGCATGCAATATACAAAATACAACAGAAGTGGGGGTAAAATAGTTATTAAAAAAACCAAAAAAAAACCAAAACACTATTAAATTTTACATTCACTATTTTTGTAATTCACACTTACTAAAAACTGATAAGTTACCAATGAACATCAATATGGTAGCTAACCATTTCCACCTAACAATTACCTAAAAATCCAACAAGTATGAAGAAAGATCTTGTTGATACTCACCGGTGAACCACGTTTAAGATAGAAACTAAAAATTTGGAGGTTTCTAAACACATTACATCATTTTGAAGAAAGAATAGAAGACATCCAATGAGTAAGCAGCTAAAAATGCCAAACATGCCAAAATATATTTGGGGTTCAAAGTGGCAGCATTTCAAAGTCACTTTTTGGTTAATAAGAACAAGATAAAAACTACAATCTCTCTCTTATTTTGGTTATCTTTACAAATTAGCAATGCATACCAGGGAAAATAATCACTCAACTTGTAAATTATGGAAAGATTTATGCAGTCTTAGTACATAATTTAATAACAGCAAAAAAAATGTGATTTAAATCAATTAATTTTATCTATAACTTATTAAAATTAAAAATATTTTTAATTAGTAAGCTGACCATTAGCCTCAAAATATACTATCCAAATTGTTACAGCAATAAGCCTATTACAGAAATGGTGGTACAGTGTAACCCGGATATAAGAGAGATTGTCTCTGGTCCCAAATTAGAGCCTGTGTTAATGTATATAAAATAGACCAAACCCGGATATAAGAGAGATTTTCTCTGGTCCCAAATTAGAGCCTGTGTTAATGTATATAAAATAGACCAAACCCGGATATAAGAGAGATTTTCTCTGGTCCCAAATTAGAGCCTGTGTTAATGTATATAAAATAGACCAAACCCGGATATAAGAGAGATTTTCTCTGGTCCCAAATTAGAGCCTGTGTTAATATATATAAATAGACCAAACCCGGATATAAGAGAGATTTTCTCTGGTCCCAAATTAGAGCCTGTGTTAATGTATATAAAATAGACCAAACCCGGATATAAGAGAGATTTTCTCTGGTCCCAAATTAGAGCCTGTGTTAATGTATATAAAATAGACCAAACCCGGATATAAGAGAGATTTTCTCTGGTCCCAAATTAGAGCCTGTGTTAATGTATATAAAATAGACCAAACCCGGATATAAGAGAGATTGTCTCTGGTCCCAAATTAGAGCCTGTGTTAATGTATATAAAATAGACCAAACCCGGATATAAAACCGAGATTTTCTCTGGTCCCAAATTAGAGCCTGTGTTAATGTATATAAAATAGACCAAACCCGGATATAAGAGACTTCTTCTCCGGTCCCGACAACTCTCTTATATCCGGGTTATACTGTACCAGTTTAAACACTTTATACAACATAACTAGAAGTGTCATCATCAGTTTCCTAACTGGGTATGGTCATATGATCTCTGCACAGCTGAGCACCTGACCAATTCCCTCCACATATCTGGATTCAAAGCCAGAGAGGTATTTATTTATACATAGCAATTCTTTGGTAAGTCGACCAGGTAGAGCATATCTCTCTCCAGATCAAACCATAGCCAATGTCCTCCGACATGAAGGCTCACCTTAATCACAGACACATGGCTATTTATTTATTTCCTCAGAGGAACCCTCTACCCTGGCTGTTGACATCAATCTAGGAAGCCCTCCACCCAGCAATGCCATACCATCACCACATTGACTGCATACATAGTTATGGGGCCCATTGAAGGATTCATCTACCTTTGACAGGTCACACTACAAGTGCTACTAGTTCCATATAACCCAATATTACATGCACATGGTTGCGTCATTGGTAACTAAACTGGTTTTATAACCAGGGTTTTCTGATAAGGAAAGTGGCTAGAAACTCAGCAGGATTAAATAGAAACAGCTTCAGCTGCAGATGACTCAGTCTATATATCAGACTGATTCCCTTAAAAGCAATCGATTAATTTCTCAAACATCATATTATATGCTTAATCTTTTTAATTTGACTTTTATTATTGAAAAATAATAAAATGTAATTTTTTAATTTTTCTGCAGTTGGCTACTAAATTATTTCTGGAGGGCATTAAGGAACTTCTTAAACACTGACTTGCTGTCTAAAAAGAAATGCTCAACATAAAATAGAAAATATTTTCAAACAACAATTGTTTGTTAAGGAGTAAATTAGATCAGATATCAAATTATGGCATAAAATTAAATGAATATTGTTAAAATATTGAGGTGATGTCAGTTTTTATCATTCAACAGATGTTCTGTCTAAAAACATTTACCGCCAATCTAATGGCAAACATAATTTACATTACAAGTAAAAGAAGAAAAAAAAGTTATCAGAGAAATCTTCAATAAAAATTTGATGCACCATTGGAACAATAAAACCATATTTTTTTATCTAAAAATGTTCAGGTGACATCTTCCAGTCAAGGTTCACAATATTTCTTCACTTTGAACAGATTGAAGACACAGCAGAGTAATGAATAGTGGCTGAGATTGAAGAATCGGAGAAACAAGTTCAAATTTCAGTCAAGGTTGTTACATTCACTTAGGTGCAAATAGCCTTGGGAAATGTGTGAATCCATCTCCTCTCCTCCTAGCCATTAATAAATAACAGGACAGACAGGATCCTATAGCATTGGGTGGCAATTGGTCTAGAACAACTACTCTGAATTCAAAAACCTCCAAATATGGGTTAAATAGCCTCACTGACCCGTAACTGGCTGTGATGAGTATGACAACATCCCTGAAGACACGGTCAATCAGGGTGGGGTTCCTCCAAGGAGTGAGAAGGGCTTGAATCTGGATCAACAGATTACATTTTTCTTAAATCCTATTTTCCATTTTTAATATCACAGAAAAAAAATTATTTTATTCTGAAGATTATCATTGTTTATAAACAAAAGTTTAGTTTTCTAAAATTTCATGATTTTTTATTTTTAAACTTAAGACAGGTTACCTTCGTACAACTCAATTGTTTTGGTAAAATCTCTACATACAACTACATTAGACTTTTTTTTTCTTTTTTTTTTAAACCTTTTCATTTTATCTGGAATAATCTTAATTTGGGGCATTTATGAGAGAACTTATTAACTACAAGATATTTTACTGACCCTCAATGCTAATATTCTTGTTTAGTGTGACAAGATCATTTATAATTGTTTAAAAATCCTTTTTCAAGCAGTGGGACACTACTAAAAAAATTCAAGGTCATTTTTATAGTAGGCACTGCAGTTATTTTCACTACAGAAGACCATATACATAAAGATATACTTTAGAAAGTGGGGGGGTTTGTTTTGTTAAATTAAAGTCCTGGTATAATATCACTGATGACAATGTAATTAACACATGTCGCTGCATGTGATTTTTTTATTTTTTTTTTATCTAATTCATTCACCTGAGAATAAAAAAAATATATCTCCTCCAGAGAAAAATGTTTCCCGTTTCAAAAGCAAAACATATTTACACATATGATCTTCCTTAATGAAAAAATCAGCAATGGTTTAAAATAATGAAAACGTTATTTTCACCAAAAGTTTACAAGAGTTAGGAAACATTGTACTTAATCATTGTTTATGCATGTGGTTATATATGAAAGAGTATGTGAGTGAACAAGTGAGAATGAAATAAAATATTTTAAAAAATATTTTCCTTATGAAATTAAGTGTGCCATTCAGAAAGATTAAACAGGGCCACAGTTTTGCCAATGACTGTCCTAAATAATCAAATATGGAAAAATCTGCGGGTTATCTAATAACCGTGTTGACAAAAATGATCTGTCTAAAATACAATCACTGTTATATTGAACTTTATTAATCTATTCGTCACATTCCCCCTTCCTTCACATTTGATATTAACTGATTTCCATCTTCCAAAGTTAATAAGATGTAAGTATTCCACCTGAACCAAATATAATTGTCATGGTTTGTCCTTTTCGAAGTCTCTTACCTGGACTTAGTCCGGCATCTGAAATAGAGATTTCTGATCCTGACGACACGCTGTCTGTGCCAAGGCTGATGTCATTATCTAGAGTAAAGGAAACAATAAAAACAAAACATTGACACAGGTTTTGACAGCCTTAGACACGCTCTTACGTACAAAAAAAATAAATAAATAAATAAATAAAAATAAAAGGCAAGGGACGGATGGGAACATTTGAAGATGAGGAAATCAGGTTCATGTGACCTGAAAATGGAGTTTGTGTGGGGTCATGCCACTCTGCATCTGAAGGGGGCCAAGAAATAAGCTAATTAATAAGCTTATTTAAATTAGAATATAACACCCATGATAATGAAGGAATTTATTTTTAATCATTGATTTTATAGATCCTTGTTTGGGTAGTGTTTAGAAAGGGAAAAAAATGTTAAAATAAATAAAATTCTCTTTTTTGATGTAAATAAAATATACAACAGTTGAAATGGCCAAAGGTAACCATAAGTTCTATGCTAACAGTTTTTTTTCCACTTGCTTAGGAAACTCTTCCAGCATCTTGCTTCCCAGTCAATTTTGATCTTCAAAAATTTTAAATGCAATGTCAACCGCTATCTTCCATTTTCTTAATTCTTATTCTTTTATTGTCCTCTCTTCTTAATACTAGTTTTTCTCATATTCTCTAATACTCAGCAACCCATTGTATCCTAGTGGTTTTAATCCCTTACTTGAGGTGAAATGATTAAAAAAATAAATAAAATAAAAAAAAAATTTTTTAATACAAATACTCAGTGGAATCTTAATCGAGGCTTTGCACTATTCAATTGTAACCATTAATATCAGAATCTGTAAATCTACAACTGTCACTAGTCCAGATTACCTAGATTGGCCACCATTTACCAACTCCATGGTCCTGGAAGAAGACCTCAACTTGAATAAAGCAGTTGGCAAAATAAAATTGGTCAAAACACATACAGTGCTGCTAATTACAGTGGCAGAAAATAAATTCAAAGAAAACTTAATAGAAACTAATAATTTATATAAAATACCCTTGACTATTATTATGCTAGATCCGCCTTCAATCAGCAATTATATTCAACCTAATTGCAATTAATGGTATTAGATGAAGTAGTAATAACAGTTCAGTTATAGTGATCCAATTATTCAATGATGCCTGAGGCATATTAGTCAAAATATGGCAATGAGATTAATTATGCTTATTCTATTTAATCAATTCTTTTTAGTTAAATCTACAAGCAGAACCGTGGGCCCAGTAAACAATGTCATGCCAATTATCCTTTCTCAAAATAAATTAGAAATTGCTTGATCAAAGGATTTTTTTTTGCAGCAATAAAATTCTGCAAACATATCAATAAAACCAGATTTAGATTATTTCTAGTAAAATTTAGGTTTTGCATTTTATGGTTCATCTATTAAGAAAATATTACTTTCAAAAGTTTATGAAAAAATAAATTACCTTGACCAACAGCATCATGTGTTTAGAGTACAAATTCACAATGAACTGTACCAGATAACAGAAACCACATCACTTGAGAACTTTCAACAGCAACAACAACTAAAATGGATTGCACACACAACTCCAAAAGAAAATAGCATAATCAAGATGCTAACATTCCATACTACTTCAAACAAAAGCCAAGGAAAGAACCCCAAATCAATACTGGAAAGAGTGATAACAGTGGACTCGAGAAACCTATTTTCCTGAACAAAAGTTTTAATAGAAAGAATTGCAACTACAACAGTCAATAAAAGTCAAATGTTTCTTTATAAGGAAACAGCTAATATCACCATTTAAGATAAACAGATCTCACCAGAGAGTATAACTTGTTGCTTGGCCAATGATTTCTGAATGTTTCCTTATAAGGAAGCAACTAATATTACAATTAGTACCATTATTATTGAATAGAAATTAATATCTTAAGAAAAAAAACAAATACAAAATGGCATTTTATGATGATAAAATGCTTAACTTATTTATAGCCGCATCATTTTTCATTCATTTCAAATTAACTTCATCAGAAAAACAAAGATGGCCACCTCTTTAAAAAAAAAAAAAAAATCCTCCATGCATGCATTTAAAGATCAAAAAAAGAACTTATTTCTGCTAGAGATTTGTAATGTTGACATGTAATACAAATCTGTCAGAATACGATCAATAAAGTAGAGAAAATATTATTGGTGAGAAAACCTTTTGCCTATTCTGCAAAAGAAATTTCAAGTTGTTCATATCCAGAAAATATGGTAGCATCAAAGACAACAATACATGTTTGCAAATATGGTCCCCTGTAAATGCCAGATAGAGAAAGCCAAGTAACTGTATTAAAATGTTACATAGAAATGTAGAAAATAAAACCAATTAATTATCTCTACAACAAAAACCAAAAGAAAATTAAAAATTGAACCTCAGAAAAAAGGAAAATGAAAAATGTTAAGAATGTCTCATGGAACAATAGCCTAATAGTGTTGGTTCATGAATTTGATGATATAGTAATTTGATGATATGAGTTCAATTCCTGTGATGGATAGATTTGGCAGAAACAGGGTGAGCAATAAATGAGAAATACTAAATAAGAACAAGATTAGATCTCCATAGATATCAATATCAGAACATCAATCTCACCTCCTCCCAGATGATTAAATAAAGGGATCACTTTGAAATTACCTGCATTGATAAGCACCAGCCAAAGCATTGTAACAAGAAAAATGAGCATTACTGTTCAGATATAAATAACAATAATTCCACATACCAGAAATTCAAACCGAAAAATGTTTGACTAAATACTTATTTGTTCATTTCTTCTTTTAGTGAAATTATCAAATGCATCAGTTAATTCTTCAGACTTTCTTTGGAGTCAAAATCATTTGATATATTTGTTTTAATATATATTGAACCTATAGTTTTGTTTTTTTTTTCCTTCTCTATATTTAAAGTACAAGCGACACAAGATAAAAATTGAACTTGGTCAGACAATCGTTCATTTTTAGGGTGGAACTCAAATTGCCTCCATTTTATTTTTTCATATATTTTATAGGCTCTACATTGTGTTGAGCACATCTAATTGTCAAATTCTTCATAGTTGAAATTTACCAACTATGACCAAGCTTTGTTTATATATATATACATATAGCCAAACTTTCCCTGACGATCTGTTTAGGTGAAACCTAGGTAGGTTTGTCTGGCTCACTAAGTGTATCTAGGTCTGCTCTCACGGTTGTATTGAGCTCTTTTTTAGTTAGTTGTTACTTTCATTATCAGGGTTTTTTCTTTGGGCTTCAGACCTGCATCTGTGCGATTTTTTTGTCGGCAGAAGTTCATGTTTGTAGCTCTTTCTTTTTTTTAAAACCTTTTTTTCCCCTCGAGATTGAGTTGATTAGCAAATCAAAAATTCAAGGGTTTTTCAAAACGAGTCTAGTTATATATATATATATATATATATATATATATATATGCGCATATGTGTGTCTACTTCAGCAGCAAGAGTTCTCTCAAACATGTTTTGTTAAATAATATGAACAAGTTTTGTCTATCAATTTTTTTCTATTAAATCTTTCAAATTTCCAAATAAGTCATTGTGTTTTAACTAACCCCACCTATTACTTTCAAACATTGTTGTATTCATTTTCAAAGACTGTTCTGTATGTTATTACACAACTGGTCTTGAGTTCTGGCATTCTCACGTTAGAGGAAATCAATTTCAAGTCACTCAAGATGACATCATATAAATGGTCAAACTGAGCCCCCCCACCACCACCATGTGTGCATGTTTTTTTCTTATATTAAACACTTCAATACAAGATCGTGTATAGAGAAAGACACCTTATTTAATGTTGTTCTCTTCTATTATTACAACAGCCTCCAGAATTTGGTGTCTTTCTTTGCACTGTGTCTTATATAAAATTTTTGGTGTTCTCTACTAAAATTTGTCTAATGTTAATATTATTTTGTTTATTGGTCATATGTTCAACTATATGTGCACAAATTGTACTAAAGTTTGACAAATTGCAAGTCAGACTATGAGAGAGTGTAGTGCATGTAATAATTTAACATTTTTTTGTTGATTGTTAGTATTGGAGATACAATCTCCCAAAGGACATAAAGAATTTATAAACATTCCTTTTTACATAATTTACATTTTTGAGGTGATGAATTATTTCTAAGAATTAGATTGGATGTTTTGAATATTTTATAATAGATGATAAATCTAAGGTATTTAAGATCTATAACTTAGAACTATTAACTAAAATCTCTTAGAAGTATTGAACATGAATGTATGTATAATTTAAACTACTTGCAACAATAAGATTTGTAATTTATAAGAGAAATTTCCTACTTTGTTATGATTAATTACATTTTCAGTTTTTAAACTGAAGACAATGACCCTTCAAGATGGATTTTGGGATTGATAATTACATTCAATTCCTAAAATGATTTTTCTAAATTGTAATGAGATAAAAATAAAAAAATTAGAACGTTCCTGAGTCACCAATTTGTTGCAAGTGAACAATCTGATTTTTATATCTTCTTTTTTATGGCAATGTTCACCCAATCCAAGAACCACTCAAGGTAGTGGGTTACTGTGTGTTGGTGTATAAGCACAAAAAGGCAGGATGTTCAAATAAATAAACTCCTGCTAATAATTTATGTTACCTAAACAATAAATTTAGTTCTCTTTATATATATATATATATATATATATATATTAAATTTAGCAATTATATCAGAAAAAACAAAAAATTCATCTTTTTTTCTAAGTTTATGCAGGCAGCAATATAAATCATATAAAACAGACATTCTTTGCCAGAGAGAAAAAGAAAGATGCAGAAGCATTACAGAAATAGAAAATATTAGACGTAAAAATTGATCAAATGTTCCACATGTCAGAATTAACAAAAACAGACTCAAGCAATGAGAAAGAAACAAGCTATAAACAACATTCTCAACTGGACATTGAAGAAGCTTTTTTTTTTCTTTTTTTTTTTTTTTAAATGACAAAGCCAATGCTCAAAAATTCTGAAATTTTAAAAATATTAAAAAAAAAAAAAAACTGTAAATAATTAAAATCATCAATGCACAT